AGCATTAGATGTATTGCACATGCAATAAATCTAGTTGCACAAGATATTTTAAAATATGAGTGGGCTGATAAATTAATCAAAAAATGTAATATATTATATAATTTTTTTAAATCTTCACATCGAGCAGGTATGTATTATAATTTTATTATTTAAATAATTTATTTAATATATAATTTATTTATTTATAAATTAAAGGAGCAGAAATTAGATTATTAATAGAACAATATAAAATAGTTGGAGGTGGTCTTAAAAATTATTCAAAAACTAGATGGACTACTGCAAGTGATACAGTTGAAAGTGTAATACGTTTAGAAAAAGTTTTAAAAAAGGTAATTTATTAAATTTAATTATATAAAAATTATTAAATTTAAAATAGATTAGAAAAATTTAAATTTAATTATAATTAGTTACAAGTATTTAATTAATTATAATCAATTAATTAAAATTATTAAAATATAATTGATTACAATTAGTTTTTAAATTTTTTTGATACACAAAATAATTATATTTTTATATTTTTATAAACATAATTATTTTTTAATTATAATTATTTTATTTTAGATTGTTGAAGATAATATTTTAACAAATGAGCAAATTAATAATATAATTAATCGATATACTTTTTTTAATAATTTAAAAATATTAAATTTTATTTTATTACCTTTAAAAAAATCAATTTTATTATTAGAAAGCAATTGTGCAACTCTTGGTGATTGTTATTTAAGTTTAGCAAAATCAGCAGCAGCAATTAAAAAATTACCAAATTATCAACAAATTGAATTTCGTAAATATTGTTTTAATGTTATAAACAAAAGATTTAAAGAATTTGATGATGATTTATATCTTTTAGGATATTTTTTAACACCAAATTATCGAAGTAAGTATATTTTAAATATAAATTGGTTTAAAAAATTTATTGATTTATATATAGTGTTTATATATAGATAAATTTATTAAATGACAAATTTATTTTATCTATATATATACACTTATATACAAATAGAAATTTTTCTTTTAATTATTAATTATGTTATTAATTTCATAATTTAGATCTTGGATTTAAAAAAGGACAATTTTCTAGAATTATTTTAATAGTAGGTACAATATGGCAAAAATTAAATAATAATCGTACTAGTGGTGATATTATAGCAGCTCATCTTCGTTTATATAAAGAAAATAAATATCCTTATGATGTATCATATACTCAAGGACATGATACACCATTATTATGGTGGAATTCTTTAGAACCTGAACCAACTTACTTACAAGAAATAGCATTAAAAATTTTAGCTATTACTCCTAATAGTGCATCTTGTGAAAGAAATTTTTCTTTACTTACTTGGTTAACTGGAAACAAATGTCTTCAACTTAGTACAGAAAAATTAGAAACTATAGCAAAATTATGTACTTTTTATAATTCTAATGCAAAAAAAGAACTTTCATATTTTGCTAATGAAATGACTGAAGAAGAATTGTTAAAAATATTAAAGCAAACAAATATCAAAACATATGAAAAAACTTTAAAAAATGAAGGCTTTGATAAAGAAATATTACTACTTGATGATGATTTAGAATCAAATTCAGGTTCAGATTCTGAAAATAATATTAAAACTAAAGAAGATTTGGTTTTATTTTTAGAAAAAGGTTTAGACTTAGATGATCGAATTTTTATTGATGATTTAGAAAATTTTCCTGATGATAATGATAGTGATAATGATCATTTATCAGAAAATAATGAACCTATGGAAAATAATGAAGAAAATCAAAATTTTGAGCCAGAAGATTATAATTGGAACCCAGAGGATTTATTAATGGCTGATGATGATTAGTAAGTAAATTTTAATATTTTAAGCTATAATTGGGCATATTTAAAATGTATTTTAATTATAAAATTTTGTTAATTAGACAATTGAATATGCAGGTGGTTTCACTACCCAGTTTTAACTATTATTAAACCTCCCAAAACCAATATATATAATAGACAGATTTTGTATTAGTATTAGGAAATAATCGGATTTGAGAATATTATAAGCTATTAAATTTATACTATTGAAAATTTCAAAACTAATTTTGTTGAAGTTGATAATCTAAAAAAAAATTAATTTACCAAGTCTCTTGCCGCTATATGAATCTAATAGTTTCAAATCTAATAAGCTCTAAATAATAATACAAAACTGTTCATTATACATATTGGGTTTGAAAATTTTAAATTTGTAAATATGTATAAAGATTATTAATACACTTTGAATATATAGGGCCACAATATATCCCAATAAAGAATTGAACATTCATTAAATACATAATGTTAAACTTCTTAAGCAATATACATGGTAAGCAGATTTTGTTTAATATCGAAAGGTCATCAAATTTAAAAATATTATAAACTATTGGATTTTATATAGCAGAAATAGATTTTGTAAATTAACTTTTTATGAGATTTGGCAGGTTGCTAACTTTGACAAGATCAGTTCGATTTTGAAAAAGTCAATAGCATTAAATAGGTTATTTAAGTAAATATAAAATAGTCCGTTGAATAGAATAGGTAACCCTTCACATCATTTATTATAATATTTGAATTTCAGATAATATCAGAAATATTGGATTTTATAAGATTTATATCTTGATTTCAGAATTTGGAATTTTTATTTCGGATTACTTTATAAATCTGAAAAATTTTAGAAATAAAACCAATTTGACTGAAACATTAATTTAACTGACAAGTATAACAATAGTTTATACTTGCAGTTCTGAAAACAATATATGTGCCTCTTATTAATTTAGTAGACTTTATTTTACCATTATTTTGACTAATTAAAATTGATTCTTTAAGATCAATCACTATTATTACCTGTACTAATTTATTAACAAAAAGTTTTAGCCAATAGGCGTAATAATTTTTTTTAATAAACAACTGTGGCCTTCGGCCATGGGTTATTCATATACCCATACAATAACCATATTATTTCATGGCATCTGATATATAATCCCATGCAACAACCAAATGAAAAAAAGCACAGGTTGTTACATAAGACCCGTGAAATAAGTGGAATAATCCATGTAATTATTGTTAATTTTCTTATTTGTGCTAATTTACTTAATTGATAAATTACTTCTTAAGTTTCTTATTAAAAATGATCTAATTGTATATTTAAATTTTAATCTTATAAACATAAAATGTAGGGAACCAATGGCGCCTTACTTACACTTGTTTATTATATGAGTGTTGGTAAGAGAAAACCTGTAAACCAGATTGAAAATCAGTAAATTGGTCTACAGGTTTTCTCTTACCAACACCTATATAATCTGTTTCTTAATCTTTTGTTAGTTTTGTACCCTTTACAATTTCATCACCTTCATTAGTTTTGTCATCTTTCGTCAGTTTTGTCATCTTTCACTAGTTTCGTCAGTTTCGTCAGTTTTGTCACCTTTTTCCAGTTTCGTCATTTCGTCATTCGAGATTTTAGTTGACGAAAGACGAAACTAGGTTTCGCATTTCATCAGCGCGAAACCTCAAGGTTTCGTCTAACAACTATAGTCAGTTCTTTGTTACGTACTGTATATGATATTTGAAAAATTTAGAGATATATAAAAAAAGTTTATTTTGGTTGAAATGCATTAAAAATGCAATTTTTGTATCACTTTGTGTAGACACTAAAAGGTCATCTTCGCTACGTTCTGGACAGGGACACGGAAATATTTCGTTCATTATATAAAATCGAAATTTTTGCTATAAAATTCGTATCATGTGATATAAAATGATTGGCTTATAATTTTCACCATTTTAATTTCAGCCGGGATTATCGTTGTTTTTTTCTTAATGCTGGTCAAATCGAAATAAATCGAAATTTTTACAAAAATCGATCGAAATTTTTGCTTTAAATCGAAATAATTTTTCCGTGTCCCTGGTTCTGGACAAAAAATATAAGGATTATCACATGTTGTTTATATAGTGCAGCAAATCAAATCGAGAATCCGCCATGACAAATTGTTACAGCAGCAATGTATAAATATTTCGATAAGCGTGTTAAATTTTTGTAAAACTTTAAAGATTCACTCAGTCAAATTTGATGAACTTTTTCTATTTCGATTCTACAGCATTATAAAATAAAATTAAAAGTCTATTGAAATTTTTGAGTGATTGCTGAGTTATCTTCATTCAAATCTTAAAACGCCTATTAAAATAATAGCTACGGTGGAATTTTTATAAAACTTTGAGTGAAGTAACTAGCAAACTAAGTTTTTTACGGTATTTTTATTTTATATTACTTGGAATAGAAATAAAAAAAAAAGTTATCAAATTGGTAAGATTGTTGCTAAGTTATCTTCGCTCAAAGTTTACAAAAATTTTTTGCATCTATTAATAGGCATCTTGAATTTTTTAAGACTTTGAATAAAGTATCTCGGAAACCAGCAAACCAAATTAGATAACCTTTTTTGTTATGATTCTTAGTTCTATAGAATCAAAATAGAAAAGTTCATCGAATTCTGTTAGATGATTGCCGAGGTATCTCAGCTCAAAGTACAGTACGTACGTAATTAATTTATCTGACTTAATCAGAGGACTAACTGTAATAATTTTTTCTTATCAATTTATTAATGATATTGCATAGATATAATCCACAAATCTTGCAATATTATACTTAGCGTGAAAAGTTGAAATAACTGTATATGAAGTATGATTAATTGTGATGAAGCACCCTTTTAGAGTAAGCAAAATAAATGAATGATAATGACTTTAAGTAATTTTACAAATTTTTATAATTAAATATGGTGGTTGAACAAACAAATTTACTTTAATGAAATGTGAAGAGACGAAGAACTTCTAATGACATCAACGAAATTTATTAATGCATGAACTTTATACTGTACAATGTTCAAATTAATTTACATTATTGCTTTTCGAGCCTGTTAGAACTAGTGTGTGTAGCATTATATAACGAAATTATATATTTATCTTAAATATAAAAAAATATTCGATTCCTGTTTAAGTGGATTCAGAAATGATTTGATTCCGAATCTACTGATATTTCGTATTCACATGTAACAAATATATTGCTTGATACTACATAAATTTGTTCAGTTCGAGCATTATATAATGTGCGCAACTTGGCAATTCATTAAAAATGAAAATATTTAAAATTTATATTTTGCAAATATATAATGACATTCCAATGTACAGAAGTTATATTGCCTATCAAAAAAAGAGAAATATACTATGGCTGAATAAAATTATAAAATAATTACTATATCTACATCAACATTTGTACATGCCCACTAAGAAACTACCAATAGTTAAACCTAAAAAAAACCAAATTATAAACTTTTTCAATTATATTTTATATCATTCATTATTCAATTCATCAATATTCAACCATTTCAATTCACTATCTGATAATAATTATAATTAATATTAAGAATAAATTTCATTTATTATAAAACAATAAAAAATATAGTTACCTGATAAATGATTTAGTAAAATCAATAAATTTACTTTTATAATTTTCATCATAATATGGCTGTATATGTGTATTTTTAATATTTTTTAAAACTTCATCAGATTTAGTTAGTTCTAACAAAATATTTTCGTCATTTATCCATTCTGTAAGGATTTCACAGATTTTTGTTGCTGATGGACGATTTACTGGATCTCTATCCCAACATTTCTTCATCAGACCTATATAACGATGTGGTGTATTCTCAATAATTATTGGCCGCAAATTATTATGGCATATTTCAATTTGAAGTCGTTGGTCAATTTCTTGATTATAAGATACAGGTTTGCCATATAATATTTCCCACATAATCATGCCAAATGAATAAATATCTGATGCTGTTGAATAATAACCTCTATCTAAAGCTTCTGGTGCAATATACGGTAAAATTCCACAAATTCCATGTCTTTCTGCATTTAATGCTATATTTGCTGATTTGGAAAGTCCCAAATCCGCAATATAAGCACTATGTAAATTATCTTGTAAAATATTACCACTATGCAAATCTCGATGAATAAGTTCTTGAGAATGAATTATCTGAAGATCTAAAGCAATATAATATAATAATGTTAATTTGTCCTTCCATTTCATTTGTGCTATCGAGCGAAGATTTTGACGCAATGAACCCAATGAAGCATATTCTAGGACAAGTATATAATCTCCAGAATCGTCTTTTGAGATTCCATGGCATTTTAAAAATGAAGGATGTTTAGAACTAATATCACAATACTCTTTTAACTTTTAATGTTTTTAAATAAAAAATAAAGTACTTAGTATTTAAAAATTATTGAAGAAAAATAATGAGCATATAAATAAAAATCACCTCTTTTATAAATTCTTCGTTATAAGATTTTGATCCATCGATCAATTTGAGTGCAACGTTCCTTAGAAAGTTTTGTTCTTTATCTAACCATTTGGCATAAAATACTGTTGCAAATCCACCTTGTCCTATTTTTTCAATATCCATAAACTCTTTATATGGAATCCATGATAACGGATATTTTCCTTCAACCAATAATTTTTTAACATCATCATCAATGTTAGAATTTTCTTTTGTCCATTCACCTTTGACTGAAAAAAACATTAGCAAATAAATTTGTACAATTCGAAATAAATTAAATAAAATTACCCAACATCTTATTTTTTGCCCTAATTATTATTAGAAAATGCATGTTAAAAAATAATAATTATAGTAATACCTAATAAATGGATTATTTACATTTGATACCAATAGTCAGCCTTTTGTAAATCTCTCAAAATTCCAATTCCATTTCTATAACAATAACCAAGTTGAGACATTCCGTTGGCATCTCCCATCTCGGCAGCTTTTTGATAAT